TTTTCCAATCTTTGTGTCCTACAGTGGGACAGAGCAGGCAGGTATCAAATGGCGATGGGTGGGTCTTGGTCCCATGAGAAGTCCATGCTGAAGCCCAAGGATGGTTTGTCAGCATATCAACGCACATGATTCTGAGGAGTCATGAAGAATGAGAACGAAATAGAAGGCAGCTTCTGCACAGCACAGAATTGTGAACTCACACATGATGCAGAAGGGGCCCAACCCGTCATCACTACAGTTGAGGGCTTATGGGGTATGGGCACACATTCACCAACAACTCTCATTTTCACACCAGCCTCAAGCCTTCTTTGACAGTCTTAGCTGGAGTGGTTGGTGGCCAGCCCTGTCAGAAGCTGTGTGTGTATAGTCCCATTTGACCATTTATGGCCATTGGCTTCACTAATGGACTGAACAGAATTGGGGCTTTATAGTTTACAGGAAAACAAGATCTTGCACTTGGTTTTGAAAATCTCAATGGATTAAACCCAAGATAAGGAAGGGCAGGGCTTAGGAGCCACAAAACAGGCTCAGTAAGAGACAGTGTGGTACAGGTAGCAGAATGAAGAGCCCCCACCCCTACCCTGTGGCAGTACTAATGAAATGCTGTATCTCTGCTAGAAAAAGGAAGACAGTTCTGATGGGGTTCACCAGGTCCATTCCACCTTCACTGCTGAAGAATATGTAAGAGCAGGCCCCCACAATCTGCCTCCTACAGTCTCTCCTTGCCCTGGTGGCATCTCACTAGGTTCAAGGACAAGAAAGAGCACGAATCCTCCTTGATCCACTCTCTCCCTGTCTGTCTGCACATTCCTAGCAGTGGCTGTGTCCCTATTGACTACAGTTCCTGTCTGACAACCCTTGGAAGCTGGGCCTGGAGCATATGCCTGTAATCCTGCTTACTCAAGAGGCTAAGGCAGGAAGATTAAAATTTCAAGACCTGAATTTCTGAAGTGAAATCCTGTCTCAAAATAAAAATAAGAAAAAGAGGGTTAGGAGGGCTGGGAAGACCACTCAGTAAAGCATTTACCATACTAGCCTGAGGACCCAGCTCAGATCCTCACCATCTATTTAAAAAGGGGACACAAGAATGTGTGTCTGTAACCCTAGCCTGAGGGAGGCAGAGGCAGAGGATCCTGGTCTTGATGGCCTGGTGCTCTACTCTAATCACTGAGTGCCAGGTTTGCTGAGAGAAGAAGCTGCCTCAAAAAAATAAAAAATAAAAAAAATAAGTAAGGTAGGAGCTTGTCAAAATGGCTTGGCCAGTAAAGGAGACTGTTAAGCAAGGCTGGTGACCTCCATATAGGTATCATGGCACATAAGTGCTCCCCAACATGTACATCATCTGAACACTTAATAATTAAAAAAAAAAAAGGTGGAGAGCAATTGGGAGACTGCTCTCTATCCTAAATATGAACACTTAATAATTAAAAAAAAAAAGGTGGAGAGCAATTGGGAGACTGCTCTCTATCCTAAATATGCATGCAAACAGGAACATACCTTACACATATACTATATGGCATAAGCAAGCCCACTGAAGATGTTGCTCAGTGTTACGGGACTTTCTTCTCACATGTACAAAGCCCTAAGTTTGAGCCCCAGCATCACAAAAACAAACAAACAAAAACAATAAAATCAAGACCTGGAGAGTTGGCTACCTGATTAAGAGCACTTGATACTCTTATGAAAGACCCAAGTTTGAGTCTCAGCTGATAACTGTCTGTAACTCCAGTTCCAGGGGATCCAATGCTCTCTTCTGACCAAGCACACATGTGGTACAGACATACAAGCAAGCAAAAACACTAATATACATAATTTTTTAAAAAAAATTCAAAAAACAAACGAGGCTCCAGCTCTAAATGTTCCGCTTACCTTTCTTGCCCCTTTAGGTATAGGGTAGGTAACAAATGGCTTCCTCTTATTGCCAGCCCTCCAACTTGTGACCCACAGCCAAGGATGACTATCAAGGCAGCCTAACATAAAATCATAAATCCAGTTAAAACATTATGATGACAATTTTTTGGTGGGGGTAACTCAACTGGGTGGCTTTCAATCATCAGCTTTATCCGTGACAGCATGTGGCGACATAGAAAGGTTGGACATGCTTGCTATTATAGCATCTGTCTTGGTTCTCATAATCTTGCCCATGGAGATGTAAATAACTCTTTTACTGCAACACATGCTGCTTGGGTTACAGAAACCTAACTGAGGTGATGAGGGAATGAAGAAAAACAGACACACGTACAGAAAGGCTAGGGTCAGGCAGACCGTGCACACTCTGATGGAGTGGCACCAACTATGCAGTAACTTAGCACTTCAGCAAGTTTATTATGGACAGCACAGGAGAAGGAGTTAGCCAGGCTTGGTAGGAGGTGTCAGTAGGTGAGCCGTCTCCAGCTTAAACATCTGAGAGGAGGAAGTCAGGGATGTTATTTTTGCACAACCTGGTCAGTTGTTCGTAACATTCGTACTTGTGCACACTGTCAACAGTGTGCAGACCAGAGGAAGGCTTTGCCGTTGCCCTGAGCCTGATTTAGGGGAAAGCTTTGCCAGCTTCCCATGGGTCCAAGGTTTTAGTCCTTGACATGGCTGGCTCATGTCAAACAACATACAGTCCTACAGAGTTTCACTCCCTCTGGACTTCACTCTCTCTCCACACTCCTTCATTATTTTCAAAATCTCATCCAATTTGACCTTCTGTTTCCTCAGGGCTCTGATGAACGGAAGAGACAGGATGCCAAAGAGCCTTAAGATCATGTCCCTGAGGGCCAGCTGCAGGGACAGCGGATACTGTGCTTGGTCAAGATTAGAGTCCAGAAATTACTACAATCTATTTCAAAATGTCGGAATCCACATCAGACTCCAAGACAGTAGCAAGGACAAACTGATCATTTTGGGGCTAATACAAACCTTTCTCATTGTTAGTAACAGTGGGATGAACACTGCTGGATAGTTAGCAGCCTCAGTAATTCTGAGCTGCCAACCATCAGGTGGATGAGCTTATAGCAGGAACACAACCTAGAGAAAGGACTTCCCAAGCTAGGATCTCATCATCAGTCACCCACTGGACATTAATCAAGGGTTTAACAAAACACCTGCCCACAATTTCCACTTCTGTGGTATTAGAGACTTGTGGTCAACTGTGGATGCGAAATCCTAAATGGAAAGTTTCAGAAATAACTAAGTTTTACATTGCATATCGTTCTGATTGACACAATGAACATTTGCATCATTCTACACCTTCCTGCCTGGGATAGGAGTCCTGTGGCTCCACATTGTATATGCTACTAGGCATCAGTAACTTATTAGCCATCTTTGTTACTGGCTCAAGTATCAGCCCGACTATCTCAGCATTGCAATGCCTGCAATACTAAGTACTACCTGTTATTCTCATTAATGTGTGTGTGCATGATGCATGTATGTGAGCACTCTGGCACAGGTCAGAAGACAATTTGAAGAGTCAATTCTTTCCTTCCAACTTTATGTAGGATTCAAATCACCAGTCTGGCATGGCAAAGTGCCTTTATCTGCTGGGCAACTCAGTCATGTGAACCTCTCTGTGCCTAACTAACATACAGGTTAAACTTCACCATAGATTTGTATAGGAAGAAACATACTATATATCAGACTCAGTACAGCTCATAGTATTGGCCATTTGCTGGGCAGCTTGGAGCAATTTCCCGCTATAGGGGGGGGGGGGGGGGGGGGGGTGTTAGTCTCTCGATGCAATCTAGACAACACTTAGCTCTTGCATTGAGTTTGCTAATTAAACAGCAAAGTGGCTTCCATACTTCAGGAGACTAAGAACATGAGGCATTTCCAATTTCATTACTTCACACCTACTCCTAATCCATCCCCCAAAATGATCTGAGGGCTTGGGATACAACAGAGTGGTAGAATACTTTGCCTAACATCACTGAAGCCCCAAGACCAACCTCCAGTACCACAGCAAGAACAATCAACCAAAAGCGAACCATGTTGTGCAGGGAGGCAACTGCGTTGAAAGCTGAGGCAGAGGACCACAAAGTCCTGCATGGGCTACAAAGTAAGCTCAAGTTGGCCTGCAACTTAGTGTCTCAAACCAAAAGTAACAAGAGGGTGGTACTCACGCAGTAGAACCAAGGCCCTCTAAATTCAACCTCAAGGCTGCCAAAAAAGAAAACATTTTTTAACCCTACAGCTCTTATTCACACACCTATCACTACACTAATTTTTGAGAACCATCACTTCATTTCACACACACTAATTTTTGAGAACCATCACTTCATTTCACACACCCAAAAGCAAGTTGTAAATTCTGCCTACAGGACAAAGTATTTTACACAGAAACTATTTGAGAGAGAGAGAGAGAGAGAGAGAGAGAGAGAGAGAGAGAGAGAGAGAGAGAGAGAGAGAGAGAGAGATTGCTCCGATTTACCAAGGTGGGAAAAAGAAAGTGTTCGGGTTTTGTTGTTGTTTTGATTGGTTTTTTGGTTTGTTTTTTTTTAATAAAAGCTCAGAATGGAAAGCCTGGGTTCACAGCAGGGTAATGTTCCTTAGGTGTAGAGAGTTTATCCCTTCTTCCACCTCGGCGCGTTCTTCTCTCATTGTCAACAAACAGGGGACCCACGAGAGATCCAAGGAGGCCAGCGCCCCTGCAGTAAAGGACCTGAGGCGCCCGGGAAACTACGGCGCTGCAGAGACCAATGAAGACAGAGAGCGGGGAGTGACGGAGCGGGAGAAAACTTTGCAGCAGCAACTTCGCAAATGCCAGCCCTCGGGCGCGAAGAGGGCGGGGACAGCGGCCTAGCGGAGGGCGCAGGGGACCGGCTGGGCCTGGGCTCTGGGACCACAGTCGCCCGAAGTCTGGGTTCCGTCTGTGGCTCAGCGAGGACACCCGCCAGGTCCGGGCCCGGAAAGGAGACGGCGGTGGCAGTGCGAGGCGCGCCCGGGCACTGCCAGGGGGTCCCCTCAAACCCAGGCTCCCGGATCCCCGCAGTGCTCCCGGCCTCGGCCGTTCCTACCTTCCTTGGCTTTCTTCCTCCGGGCCAGCGTCCCTCCGAGTTTCCCCAAGAACGAGTCATCCTTCTTGCGGGACGGGGGCGACTTGGGGGTTGGAGATTTGGGGACCGAGGGCGACTTCTGCGGGGAGGGGGCCATGGCG